TCTTAAAGGGGTAGTGAAACGAAATTTTAGCGCCGATCTTGTTGCATAAATATGGGCTAGGGACAGGCACCACCTCGGAAATATAAATATTGCGCTGTAAAACACAGGAGAACTAATTTTAAACATAATTAAACGACTTCAAATTCTCATCTGGTGGATGGGGGGAAGTTCTCGTGACATCACTTGTGCCATAATAGCAGCGCCGTTCTGCGACAATACGGCGTGCCGGCAGAATTCGCCTAGGCCTGAACGCGTTTGCAAAGCCTTGGCGGAGAAAGCCAAAGCGTAGTTGGCCACAGTGAGCTCGTTCTCGTTGCGGCTCTTTGCACGACACGACCCGAGCATGCTTCTGGCACGGCCGGTATTAGTTGCTGCGAGTCGCGAGCTGCGAGCCGACGTTAAAAAGGATATGTTTGAACTACGAGGAGCCACGCAAATACCTGCTCACACTCGGAGCGGACACGCGCGTTTGATCGAAGTGCTGGATTCGCTCTGTTAGACCGCGTTTCGGTAAGCGCTTCTGGACTGATCTTTTACGATTGCAACACGATACTGACATGACACTCGGCAAAGGAAGGTTAGACCGACATCGCGTAGCTCCCACGAACTGCTATAGCTCGACAGTGACGTCGCGTCGAGTCAGAGTAAAAATGGCATACTAATAACAGAGTGTACATACCGAGTTGCGAAGGTTATCCGTATGGCGTTTATTTGAGCTCTATATCACACAAAACAAAAAGATAGAATCAATGAAAATCCCTTTTCGACGACAGCGTTCGTCACCGCTGTCTCGGAAAACAAGAAGATCGAGATGACAAGGGGAAAATATTGACCTCTGAAATTTAGTTCAGGGATCAAACTACTCATCCGGTAAGGGTCCACAAGGGTCGCGCGGGCATATTCCATTCAGCAGGCCAGCCGGTCATGGACAGACGGTCTTGGCCAAGGACCGCCGGAGCAACGGTGCGCCGAGTCGATGTTGCTGCTAGGCCTACTATATTCTGCCGAGCTCGCTCGGTCGGCAGAATCGTGGCCGTTGTAGCTCTTCTCGTGTGTTTGTGGATCCTGCGTTCTTGGTCATTGTGGTCAATTTTAAGCACTCCTTCCTTTTTTCTTGCTGGTTGAAGTCGGGACGCACGAGAAGAGCACGTAGAAAAATAAATGTCCGTTGGTGGCCGATACCAAGTAACTGAGCGACGCTGTCGGCCTTGTTGATTTGATCGTAAAAAGTGCGTAAGACAGCTTCGGAGCTGTCGTAGGATTCTGTCGTAACCTGCGCAAAGGTTACGACAGTTTCGTTTCGAGAGCACGGGTTTTCTCTCAAATTTGTCGTACGCACTTGTTTCGTCGTGAGTTCGCTTTGAGAATCCGGCCTCAGAGCTGGTTTTGTCAGTGCTGCCGTGGTTGCCGACTTGCCGTGGTGCAGCGTGCGTGCAGCCCTTGCACATCTCAAACGGCCACGTTGTCACAGGTCGTAAACCGTCGACGCGCCACCAAGTGGCAACGCTCGTAACCACAACATTCACGCCGTAGCCTTTCCCGTCTGGCACAAGTGACGTCACGAATGCGCCCAATATCCCAAGACGCATCGCGCTCTCCGATGGCCGATTTTTGAGCGCGCGCCCAATCGGGCCCATTAGGGTGAAAAATATAGCCATCCGTTCAAAATACAAACGCGCGATTATGATTTATGAATATCATTGATCATATTGAACCTATTTCTGACCATAATAGGTGTGTTTCAAGTTTCGCTTCAGTATCCCTTTAAAGGGAAGCTACGGAGCTTCTTAAAAAAAATGAGTTAAAAGTGATTTCTAGTGTATTTTTATCCCGTGAACCCGAATACCCAAACTATTTGCGGCGCAAGTATTGTTAAACGCCAGAAAACGCGGAAGACAGTTGCTGTCCGTGACGTCATCGACGGCTCTTTTGGCTGCCCAACGCTAGGGAGGCGGGGCTTCAGTCCTATTTTGAAATTGCTCTGATTGCTCTCCGGCGCGTCGCATTGAAACATAAGTTTGATATCTGTTATTCTAAAGGCCAAATGAACGCATTTTAAGTGTTTTTTCTCAAATGCAGAAGTGCCCCATCTTCCCTTTAAGACCGGTCGAATCGCGGTTTTTCAGAAAGTCGTAAAATGCTTCGCGTGCCTCCTAGCGTTCTGCAATAGGTTGATTTAGTGTTTTTCGATGATGCTGAGCAATTTTATCTTTTAAACTATTTCCTTAAACACAATTTTAAAAAGTTAATTACGCAGAAATATTTAACAACTTAATTATCCCGGACTTTAATAATACTCCTAAATGGGTCCCTGGCCCAGGACCACAACGCCGGAAGCCTTCTTTCGTTGCGATGAGTCATTCTCGCGTTCTCTGAAAAACCACATATATATATATATATATATATATATATATATATATATATATATATATATATATATATATACAGGGTGTTTTTTTTTTTCTTGTTCTTACACATTTGTTTAAAAAAACCGTGAAAGCTACAGTAATGCGGTTTGTGCAGGTGGGTTATACGGCCAGGCGGACATTATGTGGGTGGCTAACCTTTGCGATAGGTCGGCTAATCAATTAAAATTCGTTAATTAACTTTTTAATTACTTAAAATAAACATATGGTTTCAATTAGAAAATTGCTGAGAATCATCGAAAACCCCTAAATCAACTATTTTTAGCAGGATATAACGCCAGGACAGCATTTTACGGCGTTCTGTGAAAACGCTCTATTTGAATGCATCACCGCGCCCGCATCACCGCGCCCGCGGTCCTGCTCCCCAGTGGCTGAGACGCGCAACACACGTGCGCCGTACTTCCGTCCATTCTACGAGGGAGGCAAGGAGGTGGCTTCGCGTCGCGACTACCGGGGAGCAGGATCGCGGGCGCGTAGATGCGCTCCGGTAAGAAACCGAAATCTAGAAACGCGTCCAAATGGAGCGTTTTTACAGAACGCTGTAAAATGCTTCCCCGGCGTTATATCTTTCCAAAAATAGTTGATTTAGTGGTTTTCGATGATGCTCTACAAGTTTCTAATTGAAATCATATGTCTATTTCCACTAATTAAAAAGTTAATTAACAAATTTTAATTAATTAGCCGACTTATCGCAAAGATTAGCCACCCACATAATGTTCGCCTGGCCGTAAAACCCACCTGCACAAACCGCATTAGTGTAGCTTTCGCGTTTTTTTTTAAACAAATGTGTAAGAATAAAAAAACACGTACTTCAATCTTGCAGTTTCTTTACAATTACACATTTTCCACCAATATATAGTTTTTTTTTTATGCGAATGCATTAACTGGTCTCATGGAGCGAGCTGACGTCATCAGTTTGAAGCGCAAAAACGGCTCCTGGTTTCCCCGACCCCAATAGGAGCGATTCGCCTTCGGTTCCATTCGCTGACGCGCGTCGACGGGGCTCCCATTGGCCGCTGCGCCATGGCCTCCGATATCCCGAAGCGCGCGCGTGCTAGTACGCAGCAGACGACAAAGGAAGCGGACGAGCGACTTGCATGCTTTTGCATTCACAACTCATAAGAAACGGTTAAATGTAACCCGAGCTTTGTTTCTTTTTTTTTTGGAGAGAGAGAGAGAGAGAGAGAAAGAAAACTTGTGTTTCTTTTTTTTTGCACGATTTGAGATGAAGTTATCCATCAATAATGGGCGGCAGTTTGCGCCAGCCAGCCTAGAAACCAAAAATATTATATTTACTGAATAAAAGGTTGTAAAAAGCGCCAACAAATGGGGACAACGAAGAAGACACGGGCGACAGGACAGGCACTGCATTCTCAACTGGTTTTTATTAACACCATTGTCACCTATTTATACACATTGCCCAAAACACATCGCACTCAATAGCCACAATCAGAGCCAACAACTAGAAACACCATCTCACTCTGAAGCAAATATACAGACGGAGCGCTGACGCAATGGTTTTCTTTCTTTTGTTATGTAATATGCCTCTATAATTTCTCTTTCCGTTTTACCTTTTGCCCTTCTTAAAACCTTGGTGACAATGAGGTCACGTTTGCACCCACATCACCTACAATAGTCAGCAATTTGGCCCCCCGCGTTGTTGCGCACTCACAGATTATGGTCTAGGTGCTCTATCATTGAAGCAGCGCCCAGTCTGTCCAATGTGGACTGTGCCACAACTCAACGGAATATCGTACACCACATTGATGGCACACGCGGTATATTGCATCACATGTTTCTCGAAACACGGTGGTTTTTTTTTTTTTTTTTTTTTTTTGTCTTGTCAGCAGCGGACAAATCCTAGCAGGTTTACACGGTGCCGAAAGAAACCACGTTGATGTCGTATCTGCCAGCTACCTTTTTTAGGTTATAAGACACGGTATGCATATACGGAATGACTTGCACTCGTTTCCTTGTTTTACTTTCCTCGCTGCCTTTTTTACTTCTGCTTAGCTTTTGAAGGAGGCTCTAACAACAACCAGAGATTACGTTAGGTTAGGTTAGGTCCCTCAACTTTTTAATTGTCGTTCAAAACTGATTTTGATCTGATCATTGCAACTTTTTTCTAGAGCCGCACTTAGACATGTCAAGGATAGCCCCCTCTTTATTAGTTTAGAGTGAGCACTTTCAAACAAAATCACTTAGTGCATGGACAATACTGCCAACAGACATGCTCGTCAAAGAAAAGGATCAAAATGTCTAAAAACTGAATGCAGTTATTCAAAGGCGATTCCCAGGTAAAATTAAGTGCACCTGACAATTCCCTAAACACCTCGACAATCGATTGAACCGTTTTCTCCAAACCCGAGTCTATATTTAAAACTAAAAAAAAACATCAACGTATCTATACGTCCTTACAACATGAAAATCTGCAAGCCCATCTGCGATTTGCCGGTTGGTCCAGAGCTTGAGAAGTCTATCTTGAAGAACGGAATAATTTAAGTCCTCAGCTTTCACAATTATTGCAGTGACAGCGTTCCGAATCTCTTCTCTACGAACATTGACCATTTCAAGGAGCTACGCCTGCCACAAAATGCGGTGGAAGATTAAATCTACCCCCGTTTTTTGTAGTTTTCCCGAGTTAAAAGAAAAGAAGGAACAAAATAGTTTGATTATATTTCTTTAAAGTGTACACGTTGGTAGATTTAACACGAGCTTACTTTTTTTGCTCAAAGTCACTTCACGGTGGACAGCAGCGGACATCAGGAGCCATCCCAGCGAAGCCAGCAGTGCGTACACATCACGTGACTACCCACCCTGCGCATTGCTGCGTCTCTCCCGAAGTTCACGCGACACTCACATGGCATTGGAACGGCTCGTAGCGTTCGCTGCTGTCCATCGGAAGCTGACACGGAGTTTATTCGGGTCTCGACGGTCTCGGTCGGTCTCAGAAGGCCGGATCGCAGTGGGCGCGCGAAATCAGTTGTAGCCCGTTTTGTGCGCGCGGAAGAACTCCATGGCGTCCGTTGTTTTCACGACGACGAGTAGCCCCGCTTATGTCTGCCTCCCCGGACCGCGTATCACCTCCTTTCCCGATCGGTTCGACAGTCACGTGACAACAAGACGTCCGCGCCATCCATGCTGCCATTGGCTGCGGCCCTGCGACAGTCGGACAGCCGTGAGGCAAATATATGACAAGTTGGTCGCACGCCGGAGCCGGACGGATGCTCCGCGGTGCGACCAAACTAGTGTTGTACACGTTCCTCAAAAAGAGGAACGAAAGCTCGTTCCATGTTCCTTCGGATTTATGGAACGCGTTCCCGTTACAGTCTAAAAATGGAACGTATTGTTACATACACGTTACTTTTGTATTGTGCTAATTACCATATTTAGTTAGTTCAACCGAAGATTTTTAATATATATATATATATATATATATATATATATATATATATTTAGCGGGCAAGGAAAAGGAAGAAAAGTAGAGGAAGAAGAAAGGAGTCGGGAGGAGAACTGAGGACTGAATTCTGGGTTGCCCGTATAGCCCTTGAGCTCAGCAGCCTGCGACATTTTGTGGCATCGGTGGTTTAACGAAATGGCAACCCAATCGGAGGCAAGTATGGGACACAGTTAACGTTCCTCTGCCAGACCACGGATCGCCACTCAAACTACCGACATTCTATGGGCAATCGTCTTGGCAATTCCTCCATCATCCAATTTGAAACGGTTGCAGACGTTTACGGGTTTCACGCAACGTCCAGAGCTCGAGCAATGGTGGCCTGTTGAGGGGGAACGTTGCAGAGTGTTTAGAGAGCATGTCTCAAACAATTCGTACGTCATATCAGCTACTCATAAAGCCCTAAAGTACCGCTTTGGTGATGAATATCTCCAGCAATTTCACCTGACTGCTTTTAAGCACCACCGCCAAAGCACGGAAACACTTCAGGAGCTAGCTGACGTAATCCCGCGGATGGCGAGAAGAGCGCTCGTCGGATTGTTGTTGTTGTTTATTGCCCAGAGGAAAGGCCCGCAGGCCTAAGTGGGAAAGGAATTAAAGGAAAGCGGGGAGGCCGGCGGTATGGACGAAGTCTAGAAGGCTTCGAGCGCAGGCGTTGTTGGTCGTCCAGGTCTTGTAGGCCTCCGGATCGTCCCACCGTATCCCCGCCTGGAGGACGTAGTGCTCCCGATCCGCCCGTATCCCCGAGCAGGTCCAGATGAGATGGCGAACATCCACCTGGTCCGCCGGAGCGGTGCAGTGGGGGCAGCCGGGAGGGATGCGGCTGTGGTCCCATCGCCAGGATGAGAGGACTGCCGGTGTGATAGCGCATCCAGTGCGGATGCGCCGGAGCAACACCTCCTGAAGCCGGGACAGACCAGGGGGAACCCGGGCGGTGCACGGTGGTATGAGAGCTCGCGTGCCTGCCCGGATCCTGGTCTTAGTGGCCAGAAGTGTCGTCACGATGTCCATGCTGAGGGTGTGGCTCTGCAGGTCCTCTGATTGGGCTGCCCGTTTGGCCGCCTCATGAGCCGCTATGTTGCCCTCTGCAGGGCCGTGGCCCTGCACCCAGTCGATGACGACCATGCCCGCGAAATGGTGTCGTAAACGATGGATCTTTTGAACAATGTTCATGGCTTGTTTGGTCTGTTTCAGGTGCCTAATGGCCTGAGCGGAGTCAGTAAAGATGGTTACTTGATCAATGGAGTGATCTTTGGAGGCTGCGAGAAGGGCTTCATAGATGGCTTGTAGCTCAAGCAGCAAAGGAGATGCGTCCGATGTAGCAAACTTCTTCTGGTCGTCAAGGTGGGGATGAGTGCGACTGACGAATGCAGTAGCTCCTCCGTTTTGCGTACATGCAGCGTCCGTGTACAGGATACAGTGATCCGGAGAAGAAGGGTTTGGATTATGGGCCTTGGGATTTTGACGTGCCTTACGGCGGGAGGTCTTATTGGTGGTAAGGCAGGAGAAACTCCAGGGGGGAAGCTGCTGTATCTTCTCAATGTATGACGTTTCCTTATGACATTCTGAAGCGTACAGTTGATGTTTGGCAGCCCGGGCTTGTGTGCGTTGATCACATAATTGTCGTAGTGTATTCAGGTGAGCATGCTCCTGTAACAGCTTAATAGGCGTATGCATCGGGAGGCCGGTAATGCTGCGCATCGCTGCCCGGTTGACAGTTTCCAGCGAGTTCCATTGCGTCTCTGTCAGGTTCTGAAATTGTGCTTGGTAGATTATCCTAGGCTGTAAAATGGCCTTCACGAGGCACGTGGCAATCGCAGAACAAGCACCTCCACTCCTCTGGGAGATGCGGTTGATAAGGTGGAGCATAGAGTGGGCTGATTTCTTTATGGATACGAGCCACTCTTTGGCACTGCCGGTCTTGTGGATTTGGAGGCCGAGAATTTTCATAGTTTCAACTTTGGGGAGTGTTTGTTGACCCACCTTCAGATCGAGGTCGTCTGTCCCTAGCTTCTTGCGGGCAGCATTATTGCAGACGCGCATGTAGCAAGATTTAGATGGGGATAATTCCAGGCCAATGGCTTGGGTGTACTGGTGGAGAGTGTTCAGCCCTCGTTGAAGTATATCTTGATGTTGAGTGTGGTCCAGATGGGTAGCCCAGAGCGTCACATCGTCAGCGTAGATTAGAAACTTGAGGTGCTTGTGTTGTGCCAATTTCCATGCGAGTTGGATGAATGCAATATTAAAGAGAATGGGCGCGAGGGCAGAGCCTTGGGGCACCCCACAGTTAGCGGTAAAGGGAGCAGAATTTTCCCCTGCCACTCGCACCGAGAAGGTGCGGTTGGTCAAGAAGTTGTGGATGGCCTTAATAATCCCATGTGGGAACTGTAAGTTGACCATAGCATCTAAGATGGCGGCATGATGAATATTATCGTACGCCTTCGAGATGTCGGTTGCCACAATGCTGCGGATCCATTGGATGCGTCCCGGCACCTTTGTGATGTCTTGGGCCAGTCGATGTAGGCCGTCCTCTGCACCCACCAGCTGTCGGAAGCCAATTTGAGATTCATGGTAGAGTCCTTTCGTTTCAAGCCACGAATTGATGCGTGAGGCTAGGATGCGCTCGTATATTTTACATATGGTAGGCGTGAGCGATATGGGGCGTAAAGCTGTGAGGTCTTTAGCTGCTTTCCCGGATTTAGGGATCGGAACAATGATAGCATGCTTCCACTCCTGTGGGATTTCCCCATCCGTCCATACTTCATTTAGGACCCCTAAGAGGTTGTCCACCGCCGGCCCCTCAAGGTTCTTGAACACTTCATAAGTGATACCATCATGTCCCGGTGCGGATTTCTTCTTAGTTGCCTCGATTGCAGCGATGAGCTCGGCCTTGGTAATTGGTGATGTTATGCCGCAGTCATCCACAGCGTAGGAAGCCGGGCATGTGGTTGCGGGGCTATCATGTTGTGGGAAAAAGGCCATGGCCGCATGCCTGGCGAAATCCTCGTTGGATAATCCCATGGCCAGTTGTATGTTGCACGGCCGAGGAGTGGCAACCTTGTTGGTTTCCATGGCATGATATGTGCGCCAGAGTTTCTTAGAGGAAGTGTAAGAGCCAAAGGATTCACACCAGTCTCTCCATCGTTGTCCGCTCAGTTGCGTCTCATACTTTTTTGCTTCAGCAGCTAAGCGATTCACCTCCCACTGAAGCTGCTCGTTGTGAGGAAATGAGCGGGCTTGGAGTTCCGCCTGCTTACGTTGGTCCCAGAGACGAATGAGGTGAAGATCCGGATTTGGCTGATCTTGATTCACTGTTTGTTCGGTGGTATGCTTATGCACAACCTGTTTAAGTTCCAACATAATGGAGTCCGCCGTGGCACCTTCTAAGGTGGTAGAGGTTCGAAGCTCCGTCCAGTTAATCACTTTAGTCATACGGCGCTGTTTCTTGACTAGATGATGGGATTGGTGAATGTGAATAGGCGTGTGATCACTGCCCCAACAGTCCGGTTCCGCTGTCCATCTGGGAAGGCCATGTCCCTGCCACCATGTAAGATCCGGTGTATTAGGGGCCGTGAGCGGACGAGTGGAGACGTGGGCCTCGTTCAGCAGGACGTAAGATGAGTCCCTGAAGCGGCTGTACACCTGTCGGCCTCGACCAGAGTCGTTGGCGTAACCCCAGCTTGTGTGCGGGGCATTGAAGTCGCCACCCACCAGAACTGGCACATGTAGGTATCGCCGACAGAGATGCTGGATCCAGCCGAAGTTAAGCCGTGCACTCCCGGGTTTTCCGTACACTGACACCAAGATCACCTTAGTTTGTTTGCGTCGGACAAGGACGGCTACCACCTCCTGTCGTTGTGTGCACCACTGTGACGTATCAATCTGCTCTTGCGGAATATCAGTACGGACGTAAATCGCCGCCTTGCCAGGAGCAGTGTCGTCTATTCCAAAGCGCCTGTCAATAATGGAGGGACAGTGATACCCCGTGAATTGATAGAGGTTGGGCAGGCCGTGTGTTTCTTGGAGGAGGAATGCCCAGGGCTTGATGATGCCATACTGCATACGAAAAAGAAGCTCGTTGCGCCTGGCAGCGAGGCCTCTGCAGTTCCACTGCAGCACGGTACCTATGGCGATTTTACTCCACAACGTCGTG